AATTAAGTAAACTGTCACTGTTGGCTGAATAAATAGTTTGACCATTTAATGTATCTAAAAACAATATTGGAGCCTCTCAGGCCCTTGTCTCTCTCTGAAAGGGGAACATGGTTTAGTCTACTCCTGCAGTATGGTGGACAAAAGTGTTTTTCCAAACAAGGTGAACAATCATCGATCCGTTTCCCGCTGCTTATAAGCACGCCAAACAAGGTGGTCCAGACTTCACTCTTCCCCCTCGTCTTCCAGCTTCTCCTGGGGGATCCAGAGGAGTTCCCAACCCAGATGAGATTTATAAACTTTCCAGCCTGTTACTAAGCTGGCTCATTTAGATGCAAAGGAGCAGCTGCTCTACTCCAAACTCCCTCTGGATGTCTGAGCTCCTCACCCTATCTCTTTTTACATTTTAAAACAAAGTAAAATCAGATTCCCAAAACAGAAAACAAGGTCAGGACGAGAAGGAAAACAATCACATGGAAAGCAGCTGTTGACAACAACACTGATTCAGAATATTGGTGTGTGACATGGCTAGCTGAAGTAAGCTTGCTGATCAAACAGCATCGCTTGTTGGAAACTAATTCAAATTCTGCAAAACAAAACATGATTCCAGTGAAATCTTATTCTGTTGTAATTTATCGCTCAATGCAGTCATCCTTTCTCAGTGTATATCTGCTCGTGAAATATGCAGATAACCACTACACATGCATGTGTTTACGTGTTCATTCAGTTATATGTACAGCGCTATGACTGAAAGGCCAAACACACAAATGTGGGATGGAGATGGCGGTAAAGTCAGTGAGTGGCTGTGTGGTAAATATAGTGTGACTGGGAGCACCAACTGGATGCTATCAAGTAAATAAACCTGCAAGAGAACTGAAGAGGCCAGAGGGCCGTCCCAACAGTTATCATATGGCTACATTAAAAGAGGAAGGGGGCCCGTGCAGGCTGCATGTATGGGCCCTGAGGTTTGGGTGGTGGCTGTCGTCGGTTGCTCAGTCAGAGGAATCAAGCAACTACTTTTAGTGTCAAGAAGTTTCCTTTTTAAACAGACAAAATGGTAAAAAAAACATAATTCAAACACATGGAGATTGAACGACGGTGACGTCCAGCTGTGTTTCTTCTCCCTGAGACCAAACGTTAAGATGATACAAAGAGTTGTGTCCCAGTACAAAGAGTGCCATCAATACAATTGCAGCTGTTCTATTTTTATCTTCCATTTGAGTCCTGTTTGCGTCAGGGATGCGGCGGAGCTGCGTGGGAGGCCAACCTGAAGGGTAAAGCTGCCGCCCACAGAACCAAGCTCATTCACACTGAAAGGCTTTCATTCTCAGTCTGCAGCACTCTGCCACTGTGGCAAGACTCCAGTACTTCACAGTGCAGCTCCCCTTATTTCAGACATGTTATACATTAACTACAAGCATCACTGAGAAAGCTAGAAATGCCCCAAAGTGAAAAATTTCAAGCCCCGCTCTTCCTTTACACTGCCAGCTTGGGGTACAGCTCCTTTAAACATTCCTTAAGTGGTTAAACACCTTAGTGTATGAGCACAGACATGAGGAGGAACACTTAAAATAAACCTTAACATGGCGGACTTTGTTTATTAAATTAAGGTATTTAAATGCTTCTACAAAGAAAAAGACAATTTGATGCTATATGATTTTAAGTCTGTTGATTTCTTTTGGGAAAATGTAAATAAATCTCATTTTATTTGCAGATTTTTTATAACTTACTTTATGAAAAGATTTTAGGTTTAGTAACAGATGAAATAACAGGACAAGACAATAAAATAATTTCTGATATGAGTACAGAAAGTAAAAGGAACCAGACTGACCCGATCATTTAACAAATGATCTTTATGGTCTTTGTGAGATTTTACTGGAATATGAGTCACACTATTTTCATAATCACTTAATTATTTAAGTCTCAAAAACGTAACCGGCTTCTCCCGTGCTGCTTTTCTGTGTTTTACATTTATTTTGGGTTTTGACCTGTTGGTCAGAAAAAAAACAAGACAAAAAGTAAACACTTCATCGCTACAAAAAAATAACAGATTGATAATGAAAATAATAACAAGTTATAATGAGCTGCAGCTAAATAAATTAATTTTTATTTAAAAAAGAGCACTGGTTTGTGCAGAATTAAGGTGTTTGAATTGATATCAGGAGTGAAAATCTACTTTTAAGATCACTGATGCTGAAATGATCGGTCAATTCATCAACCAACCGACAGTTTGTCAATAGATATTCTGATCATCCATTAGTTAATTGCTGCTTCTCTAATGTGAGGATTTGCTGCTTTTCTGTGTTTTACATGATTGTAAAGTGAATATGTTTCGGTTTTGATCTGCTGGTCAGAAAAAAACAAGACATTTGCAGATGTCACCTTATAAACTGAACAACAGATTCATAAGGAAAATGGTAAGTTATAAATAAGCAGCAGCTATATACATCAGTCATTATTAAAAAAAAGAGCACACGAGTGTCACAATCTGCTGCTTTTCTCCTTTTTATGACTATTAAAACTATAAAACGAGACAGCTGAAGACGCCACATTGGCCTCTGGGAACTTTCCACTTCTCATTTAAAGCACATTATGCTTTCTCCTCTTTGTGTAATGTGCTGCATAAATTAGTGGTCAACCGATACAGGTTTTTTAAATAGCTGATGCCGATAAATAATGGAGATATGAAAACAAAGAAATGTCAAGTATAATCCCGTTATTCCATGCAGAGTATAATCTAACAGACATGTTATCTCAGTCAGTAACATGTTGTTTCAGATAGAAGCTTTATTTATGAATGTAACAGAAACATACTTTGGGTTCTGCTGTAGATTTCAGAGTGTGGCTGGTGTTTAACAGAAAGATAAGATAAGATATAACTTTATTAATCCCCCGTAGGGGAAATTAAGGTCAGCATAGCAGCCAGCACGAAGGAATATAAAAGAACAGATGCAGAGCGGGGTTCAGTTTGTCAGATGTTATTCAGCTGCATTTTTCTCTACAGAACTAGAACTAGATATATTTAACTCTCACCAGTAATGCTGTTAGATTAGAGCGGTTGTCATTCAGGAGAAACGTGTTCACGTTTAGATAAGACGTCGGTGACAGAGGACATTTACTAACTTTTTTATCACCTTCCCAAAATTCACACTTGGCTGCTGCAGATGTGTCTGCAGACACTTGTATATCAGCCTTGTGAGATCAGGTATCGGCCCGATTACTCGGTCTATCACAATTATAAATGAAGCTTTCCTTGCTTATTGACAATTGTTAGTCTTCTACATATAAATATGACTGCTTTTATCTGCAGGACTCCAAATCAGACAGATTACTGACAGAAATCCTAACTTGTAGTGAGTGTAGTAGTGTAGTAAGACTTTCTTAAGGAGCAGTTTGTGAGCACTTCCACTGTGTGTGTGTGTGTGCGCACGCAGCAGGTAAGTGTGTTCAGCCTCGACCTGGGATCTCAGTATAAATGATTTGTCTGTCGTGATCATCTGAAGGCCAAACATCCACCCAGAGACCCAAACACAGCGGCCCAGTCAGCGCCGTCTGCTGCTGCCATGACAGATGAAGACACACACACACACACACACACACACACACACACACACACTCTCTCTCAGTGACTGAGCGAACACCAACAGCAGAGGGAGCCGCCATAAACAATGTGTAGGACCTTGACTGGCTCCCAGCTTGGCCTGAGTGAGAAGGCGAGTCCACCGGAGCAAAACATGTTTTTCACTGCTGGTGTCATGCCTGCCTGCTGTGACCCACCCGGGGGAGGGGGAGGGAGGTATTTATAGGTTGATAATGACCATGTGTCCTTCAACACCATCTTGTCCACACAAACCGACCCAGAAGAAGCAGGAGGGACACATGATTTTACAACCTGACAACAACAAGTGAGAGAAAGCCACAGCTTTCTGTTTAATCAACCGAAAAAAAAAACTCAACAGGAGTTTGGAAAATCAAAAGGTTTATTAAGACAACAAAAACAAAAGACCCTGAATACTCAGGAACATTATCAGATACTTCGTTACGAAGCAATTGTAGTGACTTTTTTTCCTTTTACGCAGAGAAGAAACTAATACAAAACAAACAGAACTCCCAATTCAGGAATTCCTAAAAAAGGTGAAAGCACCACAAAAAGAGTGTTGTCACGTGACAGCCGACCTTTTCTCACCCAAGCATTACAAACAGTTACACGTCACCCAAAAGCCCTGTGGGGAAAAAAAGGGCGTGTTTTCTCTTCTTAACCCCCACCCACCCACCCACGAGCCCCCACATGTTTGAAAAACAAAGTTAATAAGAGAAATGTGGAGCTGCCGTAGACGAGGTGCAACATGGCGTCCTGTAATGTGAAACAATATCACCTTCTTTCAAGAAGGTGAAACATCACTGAGGCTCATTTCACTGGTTTTGTCTGGTTGAGGTTGAGTAAACCAGAGAAATGAGCTGCTCCCAGGTCAGTTTAAGGACAGCCCACTGAACAACCTCATCTGAAATGAGTAAAAAGGAGGAGGGGGACGGGGACTTCCTTTCTCTTTTCTGTGCAGCAGCTCTTTACACCCAGCATTAGATTGTAAACAAAACAGCCAACTAAACCCCCACCCCCCCACCCCCAAAACCTTTTTAACTGGTCTGCCACAGCAGGGAATGGCTACCCCCCCCAAAAAAACAACACCACATGAACAAATAAGAAATAATAACAAAGACTTCCTGCCACTGTTCAGTGTGACTCAACCAGAAAGGAAGAAAAAAACCCATTGTTCAGGAATCACAGGAATCTTCAATCTTCACAGAACTAACGTTACACACAAAATAAACTCCCATGTGATGTTGTACTTTACACCTTCAGGAGGTTAACCTTCAGTTTAGTTAGATTAGACATGTCCTTACCTTGCTGATTTTATATATATATATATATATATATATATATATATATATATATATATATATATATATATATATATATATATATATATATATGCAAGTTTTTGGTGGCTCAACCCCCCCCCCCCGCCCCGCACGTCTGACCCTCAAGGAGACATTCAAACATAAACAACACGGCTCATTAGCCGGGTGGCTAGCGAGCCAGCTAGGCTAACTGCTAGCCAAACGTAGCGTAACAAACGTTCAATCAATGCCAAAATTTGATGAAATTAGAAACATAGCTACCAGTCATGTGAACATTTTTATTCTAAATAGTTCATGTGTCCATCCGGAGGGGAGAGGAACCTCCCTACCTCCCCCCCAGGTCCCCCGGTCCGTCCGTTAACGTTAATCAGCACGGCACATTGTCCGCCGCCTTGGGGAAATCTCCACAGTCCGTCGCGGAGAACTGCAGCCTCCTCACGGCCTCTTTAATCAGGTTCCCCGATAAAATTAACTCCTGGAGGAGCCGGTGCGGGTCGTCCTCCTCCACGTTGATTCTTTTTTTGTTCCACGGTTTGATGGATTGGTCCCAGTCCTGGTCGCTGTTGGACCCGGGGATTCTATACGGGCTTGCCCTGCTGCTCTCCCGCCGGTGTCCCCGGTTGTTCCGGAGCCGCATGCAGCAGCCTGTGCGTTTCTGCGGAGCTCCGGTGCTTCCACCGCCGCCGCAGCCGCTGATGATGCCCGCGGGTTTAACCCCGCCGGTGCCGCTGCCGGTGAGCCCGTGCAGACACGACACAGCCACGGACACCGTCTTCTTCTGGTGGCCGCTGTTATTGTTGTGGAGCTGCAGCGCCTCGCCGATTTTAGTCACCAGCGCGTCCACTTCTTTGGAGCCCACGGTAACGGACTGCTCCAGGAAGATGTAGTTCTCCTTCCGACACGGCATTCTGGCGGATAATCTGTCCGGTGTGTTTTCTCCTCAGAGTGTTTTTGTTGTCGGTGTGAATGAGAGCCGCCCGGACTGCTCCTCGCTCTCACCACGCCGCTCGGCAGTCACCAACAACCCGACTTGATTTGTAAACAATGGGTGACGCGTTGTGGATTGCACCATGATCCCAGCAGGGCGGAGGGGTGTTTTTGGAAACTAAAATAAATTATACTCATACACGATAAACACGACAGATAACCAAGCTAACATTTTATATATTTATACATATATGTACAAATTTACAACGTAATATGTAGTATAAAGTGCGTCTACGGGGTTTTAAAACTGATCTGATTTCCCCAGCACCCCGCAGCAGTTGGACTGCTCCCTTCAAATCCACGTTACATAACTCCATAACTGTCTGCTGCTGTCTGTCCATGCAAAACAAACAAAAGAGAGATTTCTGTATTAGACAAAATGGTGAAACAGTCTCTCATTTTTTAACTCAATTGCCCAGACATCACCTCTTTTGTGAAGAGGCATATGTTGAAATCAGAATATGTGCTGAAAATAATCAGAATATACGGTCCATAGCCAGATATCACATATTTGCACATTTATTTTGATAGCTGCTGATACCAAACATGGTGTCTACATGGTTTTAAGATAGGGGAACACGTTTTGTTAGCTGTAAAGAAAACAGATTTGACCCCATAGATAAAGACATACATTTTGATAACTGGTGACTGCAGAATCAGTATTTTTTATACAGTGCATGGTATTTACACATCCCACTTCAATATGTGTTTAGCCTTTTTATTTTAGTCTTTTTCATGTAGTAATCGGGTCACAGATTATGGTATACCAAAGTCACAGATATTAAAATGTGTTTAGTATATGCATGCACATTGTTTGGTAACAGCTATCAAAATAACACGTTTGTAGTGACTATAGTAGCTCAAAGTCACAGCATCTGATAAGTCAAATAATAATAATGATGCCTCTTTTGTCTATACAATCACTTTTAATCACATCTATTGAAATCAGATACATAAATGAGGCATCTCTGCGCGCTTAACATATATAATGTAATATAATCATATCTATGGCTGGATACCAAAATAATGTTATAGGCTATAAATGATGTCTAAATACATGGATGCAGGTGAAATAGTTGGCTGTGAGTGTGATGTGTAAACGTGAGCAGTGTGTATGTAGTGACAATAGGAGAGAGTGCATGGAGGGTGTGTTCCTGTGCGAGAACACAGTGTACATTTCTCTTTCTGAGAAACAGCAGCCGAGCTAAACCTGATGCTCCAGTCAAAGAGAGAGCCCTCATGACCAAATAAGGAGCCACTATCACTGCCACCACGTGGTATGTCAGCCAATCGGAGGGTCCCGGCTGAGGTTTCCTGTGTGTTTCAATGGCAGCAGCAGCAGGAGTCCAGTCATACTGGAATCCAGTGAGGTTGTGGCAGTTGGGAGTGATACCAACATGTGAAACCGAGATAAACTGTCAGCACTTCCTGAAACACAGAACAACAATACATATATTACTATTATCCTCCTCCAAGTCATAATAAGCACTTTATAGCATGCAACTAAAATATATTTACTATATATACACTTTACTACTTATTTCAATGGTTCATTTATATTGCATTTGAGAAATTCAAATGTTCATATGTGAATAGGATTTTTCACATAGCAAGAGTGTTTGGTATTCTCTTATCTGTATTTGTCTGGTTGTAAAAGTGCTAAGGTAAATCAAACTTAGTTTGAATGGCGACACTGAAGTTAGGTTCCGATTCGCAGCTTCTGATTGCCCTAGAAAGTCTAACGTTTCTTTAAAACACAGTTTCAGATTTGTGAGACCTTTATTCCATTAGTGAGAATGCAAAAAAGCGCAATGTCAGTGTTTGTTTTTACATGTAGACCACATTAAACCAGGTCCGGATCATGAACCACTATGCCTAGAGCTGTCAAATCTGTGTTTAAAGTTTCTTTAAAACACAGTTTCAGATGTGTGAACCCTTTATTCCATTTGTGAAAATGAGACAAAGGGCAATTTCAGTTCACTTTTGACAGCTCTAAACATAGTGGTTTTTGCTCTGGACCTGTGTTTCTCTTAACTTTCCAAATCAGAAAGTAGATACAAATAAATAATTACTGTAAAATTCAAATAATACCCCTCTGCCTTTATTTGGGACAGGCCTTCTATACCATGCTGGTAAATCTGAATGAATAATACTTTGGTGCTCATTGTGTCCGCAAAATGAACTAAATATTTGAAATGTGGAGAATCTAACTGATCTAACGATGTGTAGCATGTTCGTATTGACAAACGTTTGAACATTTATATTTGTTAGCATGATCTAAGGAGCTTGAACTAGCTCAAAAGACTGACCTGGAGGCCTCAAGAGGTTTAAAACATCCAGAAAAACTCTATAAAAACCTGGTGTCCAATTTTCAACACCAATTTGTGCTAGGCTTTTAATTGAGGTTTTACTGCATTAAAATGACAAACTTGGATAAAAAGAGTCGGTTGTGCAGGAGTAGTGCAAACAGTGGAGGAAATCTTAAGCAAGTAGTGTTTATGCCTTGACTAAACCGTAACCATAGACGTGGCAATATGAACGGGATAAATCATTTTTATTTTGGAAGGTTCTGACAAATTACATGATTGCACAATATCAATTCTGTACTTGTAGCATGTAGCCATCACTGTCCAAAAATAAATACTACAGAGACATGTGGTACTTCTTCTCTAACTGCAGAGGGAAAACAAATCAACACCAGAAACCTTAGGGTTGAATCGAAACCTCCCAGATGGGGTCTTAAAAATGGAAAAACACAAGCTGTAAGCTGCTGTACTGGTCTGAATGTGTATTGATGTGTTCCTGTTAATGTGTCCCCACCCTGTAGGCTTCTCTTTGTCTGCTTGTGTTTTAATACTGGATATAGGGAACAGTAACTCAACATAAATCTCACAGTGAGAGTCACAAAAACTGCACTTAATCAAGACAAAGTGTGATTAAGAAATTCTTCACACTGTCCATGTAAACAAGGATGTAGAACTTTCTGGGAGTCAGTTGAGTCATGTTTTAAACTGCCCTCCTCCCTTCCTCCTTTCTTTGTCTTTACACTAACAAGTCAATCCACAACAAGAGGAAGTGAGCTGGCAGAAAACTGGGTCACACACTTCCTCAGTCTTTCATGTTTTCCTGTACGTGAGTCAGCGGCGATGGTAAACAGAGCTGCAAATACAATTCCTGTTTGTCTGCAGCCGCTGCTGTTCTCACACACTGCCTGAACCGACTGCCACAGCAGGAACACAGTGTGTGACCTCATCCTACAGTAATCCTTCAGTGTGTGTGAGACAAACAGGGACACCGCTGAACGAAAGGGGAGATTAATAAACCTTACAAATAACAACATACATAGAAAACACTGTGCCGGCTCTGTTGGTCCCTGTAGGGAATCTGGGGTGGGGTCATGCAGTTGGTCAGTGAAGTCACAGCTGTGGAGGGTCCTCTGTATTTAGAGGCCGGGTATAAATAAAGAGGTAAACTGCGGAGCTCACATTCATGGCACATTCAGACCATCAATAGTCGTCCAGTTGGTGTTGAAATACAAACCAGGAAAGTCTAGTTTGAGACTGATTAGGGTTATCTTTTGAGCCACGTGAGGCTTTACTTAGACACAGTGGTGCTTAGAGCTAGGGATGGGACGCTCGATACTGACGGGTCGACGCTGTGTTGAGATCCCGAAGCACAGACGTTTCAAAACACTGCTCCAAAGCGTGATTCACCCCTGTTTTGACAGGTGGCACACCTGCCGCTTCTACCCTTGATTCACAGTGTTTGGAACAAACCACACATCAGCCTCTAACTCATTTGACAGATTTGTTCCAAGGACACACAATCCTTTGATTTATTGGCGGGAGCGACGTGTTGTAGTACGTTTATCCGAACCTGTAGGATTATTATGGAAAAAAAAAAACTTATCTTTGCCAGCAACAAATGTTCCATGTGACCAAATTTTTCCAAGGCTGAGGATGTCAATTGAGCCTTCGCTAAGTAACGCCCCGAATACAAAGCTGACCAATCACAGCGCAGTATAGGACTCGCTCTAAATGAGGTCCGACACTTTCATGGCTATGCTCCAGTCACTCTAATGCAAAAGGAGTCGTTTTCTAGCTTTTTTTTCACTGTATTTTTCCAAGATATGGTCAAACACTGTTCCTGGGACACTTGTAATAATTACAATCGCTACCCAGAGAGGTTGAAAGGAGAAGTACGATTTATTTTCTTTCCTTAACCTAAAATAAATCCAGAAAAATGTAGGCTGTGGGTTGTTCCTAATGTAATGTTAGTTAGTTATCGCTAGCTAACTTCATACTGAACGTAAAGTTATAAAGCCCTACTGTTCTGCTTTTTAATGATTGTAATAATGAATAGAGACCTACCCAGCTTTACAGGAACAGTGTTGATCCTTAATAATGCTGTCTTTTGTCTCAATCGTCGGGGGATGCGGTGGTTCACTTGTACAGTGTGATCGGTTCTATCTTTCAACTTTGAGTCAGTTTGACAGCTTGAATACAACCTTCAAATGTATAATGCAACTGCAAAAGTGTGTGTTTCTTTCTGAGATCGCTTTTTCCTACAAATTTGACAATATTTCTCCGGGTAGTGCAGTAATAGAAAGTGGCAGTGCCGACAGTTTGTCGGACTTAGCAACAGTAACTAAGGGGGGTGGGGCTTAGCGAAGGGTCAATTATGAAAAAAACCCAGACTCAGCCCCAAAACAGATGAATATGAATAAAATTCTTTACATATAACAAATGTGAGACATTGTTCCACTTTTCTTTTATAATTCTTCAAAACTTCAACTTTACTCAGTTAATGATTTTTAATCCATTACACGGCTGCCAGCACTCATTACTATTAATTATTATTACACTAGGGCCTATATCTTTCCTGCTAATTTTCATTACACCTCTGTTAATAAGCTACTGTTTAATACTGTAGATAGCCATTTTCATCATCAATATCATCAATAATGTATTCTGATTCTGGGGTAGTGGTTAAGACATATGCCTTTAGTGTGAGAGACCTGGGTTTGATTCCCACTGTGATACAT